TATTTTAGAGGGTGAACGGTGCCATTTGGTACGGTTTAGAACTATAATTTAGCTAGTCAAAATTGTAATTTCAAGAGGGGAATATTAGTGTGATTTTTTTCAGAAATCGATGGGGAGGGGGTCCGGACTTACCTTTGGCGAATCCTGAAGCGTGTCACAGCTGACAAGGGTCGGCCGATTTCCAGTTCCTTCTCTGCATAAAGTGATTGGAACCAAAGATTTAACGCTTCCTTGCGATCTGTTATTTTGCCCTCCTACAAGACAAATTTACACAAATCAAACTGAAAAAGAAATAGAAAAGTGCATTTTTGCTTTTATAAGATGATATTAATATGTTAATCAACATTACGAGTCAACCATTTGACTCTGATGGGTTCAGTATATTAACACTTATGCACGTGCCCCCACAAACTTACACACGGTTTTCGATGTTTATCTGTTTACAGTTATGAGGTTACTTTGATCAATGCCTCTGCTATTTAAATAAATCCATTTTGCCATTTACTTATTTTTTGATGTTCACCTCTGAAATGACTGCAACTCTCGTTTCATAAATATATATATATATATATATATATATATATATATATATATATATATATATATATATTTGAATAGACTTAAATATCTTAAATATTACAAGTCGTAGAATTAAATTTGCAAACTAATTTATTAGAATTACAGAAGTAAAGATCAAAATAACCACATAGAATTGAATAAACAAAATATAATTAGGTGAAACATTGAAAATCCGAGATAATATAATGGGGGAAGGTATTCTGCATAAGCACCACTATACTAAGGAGGGGTGTGGTTAAATAATTGACCCGCTGCTGCCCCCTCTTCTCCTTCCCTGAATCTTCAACGATGCGTTTTCAGCCGATTTTCAGATCTGTTCTTAATTTTTAACCGCATCATTTAACTTAACAGTATTGACTTTAGATAAACGCAAAATAATTATTAAGTATGTATATATGGTGTGTGTGTGTGTGTGTGTGTGTGTGTGTGCGCCTCGCGACCGAACGATCGTAGACCTTTGCATAAATGCTAGCGAAATCATTAGCGAAATTGTTTTTCAGCTTTACCAAATATTAATTATTAAAGCATCAATAGCTGAACTGCTTAAAACCCCACCTTATAGTACTCACCAAAATGTTAGATCTGGCTTCTTCATACTTTCTCTGCCAAATATGTAATTTTACCAAATTAAAAAGAAACTTCTCGTTAGCCTTTAATTTTCTAAATAAATTATCTGGAATATTTTCTACAAAACTGGATAATTCTGTAAGAAGTCCATGATCATACATCAAGGAAGACAATTCTCCTGCTGTGGCACTGACATACGACAACCGAAGACAGTTTTCAGTATCACATATCGATGTCATTTCATTCCATACACTTAAATGTTCTTTCAAAAGCTGCACCCAGTTTTCTGAACCTTCCATGATTGAAGTAATTCCGGCAGACGACACGTCAGTTTCGTTAGAAAGACTGCAGAACACTACGCAGTGCAGTAAAACATCGTTTTCAAAATCAGTTCAAAATTAATAGGTTTCCTGTTTGAAATGTCATTCCAGTTTTACTTACATTTATAACGAGCGTGCTGTTCGCGCGATAAAACACCGTCAATCAACGTAACTGCAAACTAACCAATTAGCAGTAAACGGTAGCTACTTCAATTGATTGTTTGACATATGTCTGTCAAATATTATGTGACTCGCAGGTGTCCATAGCGCGCCCGATTTTACATAAATTGGATGAAGAAAGACAATTAAAATATATATGGAGTAAAGAAAAAATGCTGGATGAGTGCTTCAGATTAAAATAAGTTAATCAATTGTTACTCTCTACCAGGGCCGCAAATGAATTATGTGCACTTTTCTCCAGCGCAGCAGAGAATCGTGTCATGAATTAGCCAGAGATATATCTATGAATATCTAGTGAAAAATTCATCTGCGACCCTGGTAGGGGGTAATTAATTGTTATGGTGGCTCTCTTAACTAGAAGTAAGATATGACCAGCCGAAGCGTAAGGCTAACGCATTACAATGGTGTTTTTCTCTCAAATTTTCTAGCTGGACATTTCAAAAAAGTAAAAGGAATTAAATAGACAATTATCTGTTAATATTCAAGGGGATCCTCCAGGATGAAAAATACTTTTGCAAATTGGCCGTGTGCGTGTGTGTTTTTTTTTTTTTTTTGCATTTGTAAATGGCTTTTATTGCCCATAAAATGGGTTGGTGAAAATCAATTTAAAGAGCCACAGAAGTCTGACGTACTCCAGCAAAAATTGTTTTTGTACATAGCTGATGTGCATTCATATCTATGGTTCCTTACTTTTTGCATGATTAAAATTCGACTTAAAAAAACAAAACTTGCATTTTTGTGTAATTTCAAATGATTGTACAATGTATGTGGATATTATTGTTCTTAACCCTATTCATACCGCGCGGGGTCGTTTACGACTACCCCGGGCAAATATTTATTTTTCACTGTAAGAAATGTATTACTCGTTCTCTTTCTCGAAATGTCATGAATTTGTCACAACTTTAGCAGTTTTTAGGTTATGCATCTGAATTGACTAGCGCAGCCTTGTTATCAGAAGAAACACTGCTGGGATTGTAAATGATCCACTGCTTTTCCACAGATTAGCCATAGAGAGAGATTTGACAGCATAGTACAAAATACTGTTACTGAAATATATGACATGAAACTCAGCCTTAAATCATGGAATTTACTACAATTGTAGGACATGCTAATTTGAGTGATTATTATATGCCTTGTTAAATAAATTGCCCCACCGGGTTATAATGTGCTGCAGACTATCCGGTATGATGAGGGGTTAAAGGGATAAGAACTGTTTAATTTGGAAAAAAACGGATTTTCCTTGGGTTAACGACGATTTCCCCATACTTACCAATGGCCAATGAATTTATTTCGACATTCAAAGTTAGTCCATGTTTTTGATTTTTTTTATAATCGCTTAAGAGATTATTACAGAGGTATAGCCATCTATGAAGGTCCACGTGGTCTGATGGCCTGCACAGATTCCAGAATAATTGCGATAACCGCTGTTTTGGTGTTAAAATGGAATTTATTATATTTCTATGAGTTGTTTACAATGTATTTATTGTGAAATATGAATCTCATACGAATTTTAATTAGAATGCTTTAGTAGGTCAAAATCAAATTTTAAACAGAGAGCTTATAAGATTCGATTACTTTATCTACTCTCTATAAAAATTGTCGGAGGTCCACTCAGTGCATCCTATTCACAAGATGTATGTAGTCAGTGTCAACATTAAAAAAGAAAACTCATAAAAACCGTAAAGATGAGAGAGAGAGAGAGAGAGAGAGAGAGAGAGAGAGAGAGAGAAGACGAGTGCCAAAAAGTGAGAGGGGGTTGCTTTCAAAGAGTCAGAAAGGGAGGATGCCAAAATGTAAAAGTACATATCTAGACGAATCTAATGCGTTTAATTCTTTATTTTTCTATGATAGTATTTATTATTTTTTTCTTTGACAAAACAATAGCCTACAAGATTAGCAATTTTGATTTGTATTTTACAAATATTTTTTGACATAGTGAAGTAGTTATTTAAATATTCATTTAAAAAGCCGGGTATGAGAATTAGTAAACCAGTTTTGGCAATAAAGCGCACGTGTCGACCGACGCAAGTGTGTGAGTGAATAGATCAATTAATGGGCGGGTCTCAAATATTGTGGCATCATATGTGACGCATGCGCATATAACCTCCGCACAAGACTTCCTGACCGGTTCAGAAGTAGTTTGGCTGCTGCACAACGATCGTCATGGGGAAAATCAAAGGTAATGCGTGTCATTACACTAACTGAAATCTTGTAGAATTTTGCACATATTTGCACTGATTATTTTCTTCCTTACCACATTGATAACTGTTTGTTAACATTTCAGCTGGCCCTGTTGTTGAGATACAGGGAGACGAGATGACCAGGTGAGCATTCGGATTTCACTGTTCAGGTGCAAAGTCCACATTATTTGTGGAGCGCCTCATGAAAAAATTAAGTTTTGTAAGTCGCTTTGTAAAATTTGCTGTTTTTGGATCGCTCACTGTGATATGCGATCGGTGATATATGGATTGCCAAAAGGGCAAAATAGTTTCAAGTAATTTTATAATAATAGAATTAATTATTTAAATTAAATAATGTTGCCATAAAAGGTTTTCTTTTGAGAACCTGTCAATGTATTATATTTTTAGTCTTGTATTGTGGTGAGAAATCATCCCTACACAATTTCTTTACCCACAGAGTTCAGTTTATTGCCTATGTACTGTATAAGCTGATGTGGCCAGGGTCATAATATGTAGGTTCACCACAAAACCATCCAAAAACTATTATCCAATAAGATGGATTTAATTGCTTTAAGGTGTTTTAACAAGTGGTGATTATGCTATTCTGAGCTGTTGAACTTTGAACAAAGTCCTACTCAATTATGAAGCAAATGTAATGATTTTTTTTTCAGATCAATTTTAAGATGCCTTGGAAACTGACAATTTCATCATTATGAGTTGATTTTCACATATAAATGCAGTTTGTTTCATGGCACCTGTATAATATTTTATCTTTTGACAATCTGTACTTCCAGAATTATCTGGGACCTTATTAAGGAAAAGCTGATTCTTCCCTTCCTAGATGTACAGCTGGTTTCTTTTGATCTAAGCATCCAAAACAGGGATGCTACAGATGATCAAGGTTAAGAAAGTTTGATTTTTGTTTATTATTATTATTTTTTTAAAGAAAAATATCCTTAAAGTGGACATTTATTTGTTCTATATTATAGATTTTAAATGGCCTTAAATTTAATTTTTATCAACTAATTGACACAGTGATGTGGCAAGTTGTCACTGATATGTGTAGAGACTGAATAACTACATACAGAAAAAAATGTGTTTCTTTTAATTAGTTACCGTGGACTGTGCCAATGCTATAAAGAAGTACAATGTTGGTATCAAGTGTGCCACCATAACACCAGATGAGCATAGAGTGGAAGGTAAGTTGACTCTAGAAAAGTTGCCCCCCCCCCCTCCCAGCCTCCCTTTTCAGCCTCCTCTCCCGATATATGACCTAGGATGATACTTTGCCATTCTTACCTAGTATGAAGTATATTTTTTCTCTTTGAGGAGAAAAAGGTGATAGTACAGTACCTGCAAGTCTGTTTCATCACTGCAATAAAAACTTGCTGGAATGATTATAATAACTTGATTAACATGAATTAGTGAATTAATCTTCAGCTTGGTATACATTGTGCTACCATATAACTGTGACTAGTTTTTACTCTCTCTCATGTGTAAAGAATGAAGATGAATTAAAACTTGTGTAATACGTGATAAGTGTATATAGTTTCATGTGATAAATGTGTGATTATATCACCATGACCTTTGACTAGATTTAAGGTATGCTGTATGGTTAGTAAAGGTCAGTAAATATGGAAATCTGTATATAGCAACTTGTGAAGAACACCTGGTACACTGCTGACCTTCCAACCCATCTCCTGTGGTAAGCGCAGCATATGATGTGACCATGTCCCCTCTTGGAATGTAAGACTGAGCATGATATGTGTATGGCACAAGCTGCAGTAGTCTAGACTGGGAGTGCCACAGAAGATCTGATAGCAGCTGTTAACATAAATGCCTTAATTCTATGCTTTTTACTTACTGAGTTGTACATGTAGATGTGTTTCTGTATGTAGGAATGTATTTGTGAACCTTACATGTACAAAATAAATGGATTTTATAGCTTTTTTGATATGTGTGTGCATGCACTTGTTTGTGTGGAAACTCTTGATATCAATGTTTGTTTGTGTATAAAATATGAATGTGGAAATGTTTGTATATATCTAGGCCTACTAAGCCTAATAAGTAATGCAGAATTGTATATTATAGCAAAGAGCACAGGTTTGTGCAAATGCAAATAAAATGTTGTGCCTTTGTTTTGTATTAAATATGTGCTTGATGTAAAATAAATGTGAAATAATTTATTAATCATCTTTGTGAGATTGAAAACAACAGCTGATATGCTAAGTTGATGCTGGTTGTGCTTTTTGATTTATATTATAATTTGATCAACCTCAGTGAGGTGATTCTAAAGATGTAACAAAGATGTTATTTACAATAGGAAACTCTTGTCCCAGTATAGCAGTTTGATGTATCTTGTTAAGGCTGTATATAAACCCTTGTAAAAATGTTGCAGCAGTGTGCAAAACTATGGATGCCAATGAATTTAATACTGGTTGAATTATATATGACTGAAATTATGTCATGAAATCTTTATGGTGGTTGCATCTTGCAGCAAACCTGCAAATATTTTTGTTTCTTAACCTATTGATTATAATTGGAAGAAAAGCCATGATATACATAAGTCCACTATGATATAAGAAATATACATGTTATTAAAGATCATGCATTTGATGACATATCATTCACATATTTTTAAGTAAAAAGTGTTGATTCTTCTTAAAAAATGTGTTGTCAAGCTTAGTTACACTACTCATACTATTTTTTCAAAAATATATATTCAAAATAAACTGAATAGCAAAAATTGAGTTATACATTTTGTACACATTTCCAGAATTCAAGCTGAAGAAGATGTGGAGATCCCCTAATGGGACAATAAGAAACATCCTTGGTGGCACGGTGTTTAGGGAAGCCATAATTTGTAAGAACATTCCACGTCTGGTACCTGGCTGGACTAAAAGCATCGTCATTGGACGTCATGCTTATGGTGACCAGGTATTTACTTGTTGTTTTAGTTTAAATGTATGTTTGCGTATCTGTGAGTGAGTGCATGCGTAGTAGAGAGGGAACATTTGAATGGGTGCCAGTAAAAGGTACTCTTCCAGGATATACCCACCAAAACAAATGTCAATTTCCACTTACAAATCATTGCTCAACCTGTCCCTGCACTTGGATTTGATGTCTTATTCCATTTTGAAATGAATAATTTAGTGATCTAAATGATTGACCAGTTGTTTATAACAGCATCTGCCTTCTTTGACCTTCACAGGCATTGCCTCATTTGCACCCAGGAAAATAGCACAGCTTTTTGCATCATACCTAAAACATTGGTTTGAAGTGTCTTTTCACTTCAAACATTCTTCCTTTAACAATCTCTTTTAGAGGTCCTACATGTAAAAACCCTGCAGGGGACTTCACTCATTTTCGCAAGTTTGCAAAAACAAATTCTAAAGAGGGAAGAGAAAATGTCTTGTCATTGTTAATAAGAATGATTTTGCATGTTTGTTAAAGAAATATTTATGGCACCAGTTTTCCTTCTAGTATAAAGCCACTGACTTTGTGGTCCCAGGTGCAGGCAAGCTAGAGGTGACATGGACCCCTAAGGCAGGGGGAGAACCTATCAAACACAATGTGTTTGAGTTTGAAGATGGAGGGGTAGCACTGGCCATGTACAACACAGACAAGGTGGGAACTCATTCCACTGTTTCTGCTTGTAATGAGATTTTCAAAGGACTCTCTCTTTAACAAATGTTTACCAGTACTGTAGTTGTCATGTCGTGTAAATAGGGTTTATGATTATCATTATGTTTCTGGTTACAATCTCTATTGAACAACTGAAAAAAGGGTCTCAACGAATAAACATTTATGAAAAGCATAGGCGTATAAACAGCAGGTCATCCATTAGTGGCAATGCTCTTGTACATGTACTTTGAGTTAGAAACATAAAATGTAAGCTGTTTTTTATCTAGGCAATTACAGACTTTGCCCACAGTTCATTCCAATATGCCTTAATGAAGGGTCTTCCGTTGTACCTAAGGTAAGTTACCCCTTGTGATAGAAATTGAACTTTTTATTAAAGAACCAAAGACACTGTACTGAAAATGTAACAACATTACTTCTAAACTGATATCAGTAAATTTTTTATCACAATTTTAGTTTAAGAATTCCCTTTTTTCTTTTGGTGTTGCTTGTAACAATGTTATGTAAGTGACACTTAACTGTTTATTGTAGCAATTGTATAATCATCTGTGTTATATTACAGCACAAAAAACACAATTTTGAAGAAATATGATGGTAGATTCAAGGACATTTTCCAAGAAATCTATGATTCGTAAGTATAAAAGCACAGTGGAGTACAACCATGATATAGATATATTATTGATAAGGTCTCTAAAATGGTTGAGTAAAAGTGACTGGTGAATTGTTTTTATCTAGTTTATCTTTGTTGATGTTAAGATTTGTATTGTATTTTATTTCAGTGCTTACAAGCCCCAGTTTGAAGCCAAGAAGATCTGGTACGAGCACCGGCTGATAGATGATATGGTTGCACAGGCCATGAAGTCTGAGGGTGGCTTTGTTTGGGCATGTAAGAATTATGATGGAGATGTCCAGTCTGATTCTGTCGCACAAGGTAAAAAGAAGGGTTGGTTGTTGGTAGTAAATTGTGGTTTTAAAATGGAATGTCTTAATGTTAAAGACACGGTTATATTCAATTTACTAAACAGTTTTCTCATATTATTATTATTATTATCGCACCAGGGGTCATGGCACAAACAGATTACATGTAACATGTGCCTTTGGTGCTTTCAGATGTCAGGGAATATGTCACTGCTGAAGAAAGACATATTTTATTGTTGTTTAGGTTTTGGATCTCTAGGCATGATGACCAGTGTACTGATATGTCCAGATGGTAAAACTGTAGAAGCTGAGGCTGCGCACGGCACAGTCACACGCCATTATAGATTTCATCAGCAAGGCAAGGAGACATCTACTAACCCAATTGGTAAGATATCAAATAATGAAAAGTCGAACAAGGGTATTGCAATAGGGAGTAGAAAGGTCATTCAGATGAAAATTAGCATTGCTTCAAAAGTTTTACTTCCATCATTTATAATACTTTTAACAAAACCCCATCTCATTTAAAATTAGATGAATTACATTTAATTGATGCTTTAAATTGAAAGTACAGATTTGAAATACAAATGTATTAAAATTGTTGATAACACCATAAATTATGATTAAATTAATTTTTATTTTCAAAAATGTTTTAATGTTCTTTTTAAAACATCTAAAGGAAATGGAGTGCATGTTGACAGGTAAACTGAATTACATTATAATTTATGTCTGTATTCCTCTATACTTCACACTTGTCAAAAAGAAATAAGCTAAATATCTAAATATTTCAGCCTCTATCTTTGCCTGGACACGTGGTCTAGCTCACCGTGCCAAGTTGGATAACAATGAGGAGCTTGCAAAGTTTTCCCAAGCCTTGGAGGATGTCTGTATCGAGACTATTGAATCAGGCAGCATGACCAAGGACTTGGCTATTTGTATCAAAGGAATGGCAAAGTGAGATTTTTTTTACCTCTGTGTTTATATTTCTGTGACATTTAAATTCCACACTTCTGATGTGAGATCATTAGGTCCTGAAATCCACATTTTAATCCAACATTTTATAATGTGATTATCTTAATTTTTCATTTCAGCACCCAGCGTAGTGACTACCTTAATACTTTTGAATTTCTGGACAAGCTAGCAGAGAACCTCAAAGCCAAGATGTCAGCATGACTGGCTGCAGGGGAGGCACAAGGGCTCAGTAAATTATAGGATTGTGCTAGACTAGTATAGATTAACTGAATTCTGTGGTGTAATTGATAATATCAATACGGGTTTTTATGAGCTAACTAGTCATCATTTTAGCTTTTGAGGCAAATTACAACATTGGGAGCATCTTTCTACCAATCATTACTTAACTCTAATTGTGTTGAAGATTATGAATTCAATAATATTAAATAATTCATTCAACAGGAATAATCTTTTCTGTTATCTTCCAACTAAATTTTTGCTCAAATCTGTCTATTATTAGTAGTTTCATTTTTGCTACTTTTTTTCCCGTTTTTATGCTCAAATTTTTATCTAATTCATAGGGTGAGTGACATTATTTGCACAATCAGACATGTCAGTCAGCAGTGACTGGCAAAAATTGCCACAAAATGATTTAAAACTGGATCACAGTACAAATTTTTGTGAACTTATATTAATATTTATATTAAAGAGTGGAGAGGCAGGTCAATCCTGTGACATTATGAAAAATAGAAATATGGGTTGTTATGAGCAAACTAATCAACATTTTAATTTTTGAGACAAGTGAGGGAGTATCTTTGCCTGAAACAATTTACTTTCTATCATTCATTAGTTGCTTATATTAGTGTTTAAAAGTAAGGGATTAAATTACATAAAATAATTCATTCAAAATGAACAATCTTTTCTGGCAGATCATTCAGCAGTGTCTGGCAAGATTTGGTGCAAAATAACTGCATACATCTACCATCCAGTAAAAAATTGGATCACTGTAAAATTTTCTGTGAGCTTGAATGAATATTAAAGAGCAGATAGGCATTTCAATTTACGTACTCAGTCCACTAGGGATGTTTGCAGGGTTGCCAGCATTGCAGAACTTAAAATGAGTCATTTGTGAAATATCTGTTAAACATAAGCATTGTGCCTCACCCCCTCCCTTTCTGGACTGTATGAATTATGCTTCCATGAACATGCCAGAAACTAGTAGCACAAAATACTTTTGGGCGAAAGCTAAGAACATTCTGGTAACTGCCCAAAGGATTGCATACTGTTTAGTTAAAGAAAACTGTTTAAGAAGTAAACTGTTTAATAGAACCATGAGGGAAAAATTAATAAAAGGGAAGCCACTAATCTTTTATTGAGTTTTCATTCATTTTCTACAAAAGTCATACGTTTTACATGGAAGCTTTTATTCCATGAAGAAAATATGAGTGTTTTGTTACAACCACACTGTAAACAGTAAAAGTATCATTTCAAATTGCCATTGTTTACAAACTAATAAACTTGACCCAGTTTCATCAACACTGGATAGCACTATCCTTTGAGTAACACTATCTACTGGGCAGAATTTTTGCTGTCAGTAAAGTTATTCTGTGAGTAAAGTTCTGTTTTCTAAACATTAGATACTCATTTTCTTTTCCGATATTGCTTTTCAGTGTTTGTAAACAGCTGCTATCCTCAGGATGCTGTCCAAAGAATAATTCTATCCAATGGATAGTGTTATCCTCAGGATAGTGCTGTCTAGTGTTAATGAAACTGGACCTAGGAGATATTTAAGCTGATGACTGAAAAGGCTGGATCTTAATCCACTTTTAACAATCTTTAATAAAATAGTCTCCAAGTTACAGTCTCGCGATGTCTGTAGCATTATAACAAAGTTTATATAGAATTCTTTATAAAACTAATTAAAACAACCTATTTGCTTCCATTACACATTTCACCCCTGGCATACATAGTTGTGAAAGAAGCAGTAAAACAACTGCTGCCATTAATTGTTATTGTAGCAAACTTGCACATCAACACTTTTAATTAATTAACTGGCACTGTTAAAAACCTTTACAATTTAAATGCACTTCAAAATTAAGGTAGATCGGTCGTTACATGTTCCAACGTTCGAATTTTTTTAAAAAAAATTTTGTTTGAAGAGACACCCAAGTACATTAAAAATTCGCAAAAAAAATTGGGGGTCACCGAGCAAATAAGAGAACTAGGCCCAAATATGATACACCCTGCATATCGCACTAGTCCCCATTCAAATCAATGGGAAAATGGGTTTTTTTTCACTAAAACATTATTTTTTATGACTTTCTGACGTTCGAATTTTTTTAAAAAAATTTTTGTGTAAAGAGGCCTCCAAGTACATTTAAATTTTGCCAAAAAAATTAGGGGTCACCGACCAAATAAGAGAACTACGCCAACTTGAAGTGCATTACACCCTGCGTGACGCACTAGTCCCCATTCAAACCAATGGGAAAATGGGTGCTTTTCACCAAAACGTTATTTTTAATGATTTTTCTAAGGTTTGAATTTTTTTTAAAAAACTTTTTGGGTAAAGAGGCATCCAAGTAGATTTAAATTTTGCCAAAAAAATTGGGGGTCACCGACCAAATAAGAGAACTACGCAAAGTTGAAGTGCGTAACACCTTGTGTGACGCACTAGTCGGAAGTCCCCATTCAAATCAATGGGGAAATGGGTGTTTTTGCACTAAATCGTTTTTTTTTTCTTTTTTTTTTTCTTTTTCTTTTTGTGTGTGTGTGTGTGTGTGGAGAGGCATCTAAGTACATTAAAAACTTTCAACAGTTGAAGTGAGTATACTCAGCTATTTTCAGATTTGTCATACTGATGCGAAAGTGTAAGCCATTAACTTCACAACAAAATTATTGAAGAGAGTAATAAGGGAAATACTCATGCATATGAAAATAGTTTATTGCCGTTGTTATTTATTTATGAACATAACACGAACGTGACATCGTACACACTGTGTTGTCAAGTAAAATGAAGCGTCTGATACAAAGTATCAAATGCGGTATTCACGTGCTTCCTTGCGGTGCGTTCAGTACACTTTGTTTACACTGACACTGACAAGTCGAGGTCAGAAGTGCACAATTTTTTCTGTATATTATAACGCAGTTTCAATTTTGATTAGTGAATTTTCTTCAAGCTGTATGGCCATTTTTTGAACATTTGTATAAGTTACGAAATATTGCTCAGTCCAAATTTCTCTAAGTCCAAATGAGTGGCGTTACGACGCACTTCCGGTTTTCGTCGAAATCTAAGCTACGGTTTGCAGCACATTCAGGGCGTTCTACCTCAAAATGTACGCAGCCGCTTTGACTGGAATTTACAACACTTATTCTTTACATGATATAGCACCTATGTGCATAATTTGTGAGCTTTAGCTGTCATACTTTTTCTAGTGCCAATTTGCTATTCCGACGATTTCTTGAAGGGCAAGTCTATGAACGTGCTACAGTTGTCGCATGGAATCATAGTCGACAAATGTTGTCGAAAATCTGTATCGATCATACAGAGTTACAGACAAGTTGATAATGTGTGTTTATCTTATAGATAATTGTTTTATTTCCTCAAATTGATAAACCAGACTGAAGTGTCGTTAGAGACGATTGACGATGCGCTGAAATTGCGCAAATCGTCAAATTACGTAACGACCGATCTACCTTAAGCAGTGTGTTATATCATATTTTATCTGCAAATGGCATGCATTCTTGCAGAAAGTGTATTATGTACATAAAAGGGTACATAGTTTTAATCTCAACAAAAGCACCATTTGCATGCCTTTTTGTGGTCAAAACTTATAACAGCATGTGCTTGAATGCCAGATTTTGAAATCTTTGCCAGTGGTACATCTTGGCAAACTTGGTCAACATACTGGCTCCCTATAAGTTTTCTCTTTCATGTGACATCAACTGTTTCACATCTTGTGGTTTTATGTTCATCTTTTACAACTTCTCTTCTGTTTGGGTGGAGATGCATCACATGATCATCATCATAAATGCAATTGAATTTGAACTCCTCTTATTTCACATCAGCCATACTTAATTCTTTTTTCCAAATAAAAATGGATCAACAAGCAAATTTAACTATGTGCATCATCTTTTATGTACATAAATAGTCAGGCTATTTACATTAAAGCAGTTTCTATTTTCCACTCTTGGTCTAGTTGGAGTCATTTCAAAGTTAATTTCCTGGCTAGTGAACATTTTTATCTTGTAAACACTGCGAAGATTCCTCAGTCTTCTTCATCAGAAGCAGCTTCAAACATCTGAAAGAGAGCCAGTGCCAACACCTTAAAACATACCTGGCAGAGGGTAATCTGTAAACATTGTTGAAAAACTTCAATATTAAATTAATGCTTGCCACCAGACCTTAAAATCTACATCACTGTGTACCTTAATCTTGTTTTAAATTCATATTTAAAAGCCGCTCATTTGTAGCAGTTACCTGCATTAAATTCTTTGGACCTATGATCAGTTTTGGATCTTCTTCATCTGCCAGAAAGTTGGTATTTGGGGGTGTCGTCCCAGATACATCACTTCTGAAACCAATGCTAGGACTTGTCTCTGGAGTGTATCTACACAACAAAAACATACCAAGATAAAGAAAACCTACAAAACTTTGAAGTAATTGAAAGATTTAAATGACTTACAAAAATGCACAATGCTACACATTTTTTTAGCATGTAAAGGAAAAACGAACTCGTCGTTGTGCCATTGCATGCTTACCTGTTTATAATGTTATTGAGATTACACACGGGGGACCTAGTTCTTGGGGTGCTCCGCCTCTGAGGCCTGTGGCGTGCACTTGGGGTTGTTTTAGGACGTACTGGAAGACTAAAGTTGCAATTTATCATTCATTCACTGTGATACAGCAATAACACCTTTGCAAATAATATATGTACATATCACCATGTGTAAGTTTTATTACCATTGCCAGAACAACAAAGTGTCACTTATCAAAGATACTAGCAGTATTCAAATTAATTTAAAAGTTGAGTTTTGAAGAGATCAATCAGAAGTGCCACTGCCCATAATAAAAGCGAACTCTGCCTGGTACCATTTATCTAAACTCAGCAAAGTATTTCTCTGCGACAAATGTATCATTAGATGCATAGGTTGTGCATGGAGGATGCACATGCTACATCACATACCTTGAAATAATTTCATCTTTTATATAGCATAAACCTTGGCACAGAAAACATTCCATTCTGTATTTTTATATAACAAACCTTGGGATAGCAAATGTTCCATTTCTACTCATATCATCACTGGAGGTGGATGTGTCCAGGGGAGCAACCATAGAGTTGTCATGGAGATTAATGCTATTATCTTCAAATATTTCATCTGCAATACGTAATTTCTATCTCTGTTGGTATGGCATGATAATATGAACATGTTTGGCATACAGTTTTATCACTAGTAATATCATTTTGATATAAGCAATATTTCTGTTTACACAAATAATTTGTTTGTACTTTGTTTGTATTACACACAAAAAGTATTCTTTTTTTTTTCAAAAAATGGAAATCACAATAACATTTTGAACTCACCATCAGAAAAACTATGGTCCCATTCAGAGGGGTGTTGTTTAGGAATGTGGATTTTAACTGGAGTTTGTTTTGTTGTCTTAAAAATTTTGACAAATGGCAAACTCAAGAAAAACCAGAGCAACAAGAAAAATGCCAGTGTCTTTTCATACAAGTATTGCACAGATCCCACCTGCAAAGAAAATTGATGTTTGAAGTTCAGTCAAAATCGTTACTTTTAAATTAAGGCACTGTTGAATATTTTACTGAAAAAAAAGGAAATTTACAAGTTTATCAAACTTAGGGACTAAACTGGAAAGACCACAGAAAATTACATGAACAATGATGATAAGTATTGATAAATGGTTTAATCTACTATAAACCATTGGGGTATAATTAAAGGTAAACTTTCTAAATTTGAAAATGACCAAAAGTCAATTCAGTCCCAACAAAGCCCCCTCACAAGAACCCCATGCTGATATTTCTTCCTGAATTTTACAAGAGACATGGTGGTCTTTGTGACTGGCTAGCCATTTAGAACTGAATTATCTAAATTTTGAAAAAATCGATTTGGTGGGAAAATCCCGCATTGTGTACCTGAAAGTGTTACATCATCCAGGTAGTTACCTCAATTCAACTTACCCATTTCTTGAACATCTGTTGCCTTTTCCGTCTCTTCCAAACCTTTAATTGTAGTATATAAAAGGGTACATTATTTTAAAGTAATCTAAAAATTTACTCACATGCCTCCTTTATCAAATATTCTACATATACAACATATTCTGTTAGCATTTCTAGTATTCTAAAATGTAGTAAATGAATTGTATCCAATGAAGTGAACATTGTATTGACTATGATGACTTAGTGATAAACATGTGACTCGGTGTAAGAATTTCTTTTTTGATCAATTTTTATTTGTAAAACACTTACATTTCTAACATAAGAGTGGGAGAGCAGCTGGTCAGCAGTTGGTCGCAGTCGGTCATCAGGTTCCATCATCCACTTTATGATATGAATTAACTCTGGCGACTTTCCTGAATAAAATGCTACATAATTATTTTTTCTATCATATAAAACATCGCAGTTAAAGTAATTGCTACTATATATTGCACAAATTTTAAAACATCAAGGAATTAAGATACAGTTTGGTTGAGTACAGATTATGTCCAAAAAAGGGTCTCTTATTCTTTCATTTAAAAAAGGACTGTTATGGCTAGTTTTCTCCTTTAAATACATTACATAGTTTGCTATTTTGTGTCAAGCACATAACTCATGTTGTTTTAAACTTAGTTTTAAATAAAACATTTTAACCAACCTTTTAGCAGTTTTTGTGGCAGACAGCCTGTTCTAAGTTGGTGCCAACCCTCCCCACCTCTAGGTAGGTCTAAGTCACAGGTTAATTCTAAAATTGTGATGCCTAGACTAAAAACATCTGCTGGCTTTCCAAACTTTCCTTCCTGCTCTAATAACTCAGGGGCCATGTACTTAGGATCTCCTTCAATAGCATCTGACATGTCTGCTTTCTAAAATATAATACATTTATCACAAACATTTCTTACATGTTTTTGTTTCATTAACAATCTTCCTCAAGCATCAACTATAAGATATGAAACTGATACAAATACCTTTTTTGCAAAACAAGGAAAAAGTATTGTCTGTGTTGAAACATAATTAAAAATACCTTCTTTAGGTCTATAACAAGACCAAAATCTCCAAGCTTGCAAACTCCATCACTTGAAATGAAAATGTTTTCTGATTTGATATCCATGTGTACTAAGTCATGGTCATGAAGATGTTTTACAGCCTAAAAAAAAAAAAATTAAATTGAAAATCTACACACACAATTTCATTCTATATAAATAAAACTAGAAGCTGTAAATGGGTAACCATAAGATATCCTCACACTTTACCACATTGTCAAGATTATCTCATCTCCAGGGTCCTTACCCCCATGGACATAAAACTATCTAAGCACTGTTACTAGTACATCAATAACATTCTCAACAATAGTAAGCTAAGCTCTCCATGTAACACAAGCATTTTGATACAATACACAGTTTTTATTCTTACCATTAACAGGTCTACCATATAGTTCCACACCAGAGATTCAGGAATATCATGATGACTTTCTGCATAGTTATTCAGACTAGAATTACAGGTTATACAGTATCATAAATATGCTTCTATTGAAAAGCTGCTCCAGTGTTATAAAGTAATCTTTATCTAAAATTTAGTGAAGTTAGCAAATCTCTGGCAATTTTGGCTACATTTATGATAAAACTTAAGAAGTTTCCTAGAATATAAAAGTGAAGACTATTATAAGGAAAATGAAGATCCTTTGACTGACAAGAATGTCATAAAAGTTGTAAGTCAGGGTGTAAACTAAAAAAAATCTGTAACAAATTAACTGTATAGATGATGGGATACCTTGTTTGGCAGAGTTCAGTTTGTATGTACAGATGTTGCCTTTCTTCCCAAGCTCTGACAAATTCTACACAGTTAGGGTGTTTTGGCAGAGTTTCATGCTTGGCAACCTCTTCTAACTTACGTTTTCTAAAGGTGAGAGAAAAAAAATTTGGATGAATGAAATAATGAACAGGTAAATGTACAGTACCTCTACATAAGTACATATGTTTTAGCAAAGCGAGTAGATAATTAAAGCTAAATAGTCATAAAAACAAATGTAAGTAACTGTCAGTGATGAGATAAAATGATAAAATACAATGGACTTATTACCATGCAGACAAATCAATTCCTTCAAGAACATAATTGGACACCTACCTATCAGATTCACCCCTAAACCGTTCTCTTGATCTTTTCACTGCATAGTATTTGCCATCTTCCTTGCTTTGCACCTTGAACACCTGTTAAACACAAAAAAAATCTTGCCACCATTTCTCTCATACAAACATTGAAAAATGGAAAGTTAAAGGATAACAAGTGTTCTTATGAGATTCACATTTCACAATAAATAATAAATTCCATTTTACCACCAAAGCAGTGGTTAACACGTTTATTCTGGAATCTGTGCTTGCTATCAAACCACATGGACATTCATTGATGTCTATTCCTCAATAATGATCTCTTCAGAGATCAATACAAAAAAACCACACTAAAAAATATATGGACTAACTTTGAATGTCGGAGTGGATTTATTAACCATGGGTTAATATTGGAAAATCATCATTTACCTCAGGAAAATCTGTTTTTTGGCCAAAACAGTTGTTATGCCTTTAACAACTGCTATACTACCAATGTCACTATAATAAGATGCCTCTATTTTAGAGTAGCTAATAAAACCCGTAACTTCTTATTCTTGCTTCACTTTTAATTTACAAAATCTAAAAATACTTGATATAAAGGCCGGATATGTCATATAAGTATCAAATAACATTTACCTCCCCAAAAGAACCTGCTCCGAGTTTGGTGCACACTACAAAACACTGGTCAAAGAAGAGTTCTTTACTACCCTGGTCATAATGAGAACTCAACACAGCTGGAAGAGGGTAGTAAGGAAGGTAACATATCCTTGGCTAAATAAGACTAAGTCAAAATTTTAAAATGTAAACGGCTGTCACTACTTTTTCAAGACAATTTTTTTTGCATAACACGTCACAATACCCTTTCCACCAAAAATTTTAATTAATGGTTAAAACCATATACTAGTACATATAGATACATAAATATTTGCTTAATTTCCCTGCCACATCAATATGGTTACTTTATTTTTTGACAAGGAAATTTTTTTTTTAATTGGGCCCATTTCCTATAGAATTCTATAGGATCTTATAGGATCCTACAGGACTTTTTCGTAAGGGTTTCCCTGCCACATCAACAATCAATATGGTTACTTTATTTTTTGACAAGGAAAATTAAGGGGCCATTATATTTCAAGTAATGTTTAACGTTTATCAGTGTAGACAAAGGATACAATGATCACTAACAGATCCTCTGAAAGAGACTGCCTGTGCCCTCTGCACTTGTTTATGATGAAATATTCTACTGACTGGGGGGCAACTTTTCACTGGAGGCCTGGGAGGAGGGGCTTCTCGGGGAGTGCCTCTCTCCTGAAAGATATAATAGAAACACACTGCGTGATAAAATGAACTGTCACATTTGATGAAGTTGATTTTATATCAACACTGTACATATCAGTGTGAAAATGAAGAAGCCAATCTTACTTTCTTCACTGTTGTAAAATTGGTATTTCACTAAAGATTATTATAGAAATTAATCAACATTTAATGGTAAAATTAAACATTTGTACATCAGTCAAGTGAATAACCATCGGAATCTTTAATAACACAATTGGCTCTGCATATCAGAGAATGAGAGAGAGGGAGAGTTTGTGCATGCTCGAGTGTGAAGGTGTGTCTAACAGCTGCACAACAGGGTATTTTGATCAAAGCATATAACTCATCGAATTACTTTATGTGAATGGCAATAATGCACAATGCAAACATATTTGTACTTGTTTCAATATTATCTTACCTTCTTTGTCGAAAACGTCTGTGCTTCTTTGAAGAACTGCGGCGTTGGCCGCGGACTTTTTAACGTGGACATAGTTTACAGTCACCTAGAGCTGCCATCGAAATTGTGAATTTCTAAACAATTATTGCTATTACTTAACGTTGATTCAAGCTGAAGTATGCAATTTCAATTTTGGTGCAGTAAATGTCAATCAAAACAATCCAACCACCTGTCAACGTGCTCTGCTCCAGAGACCACCATTTTGAATGCGCACACATCCAGACATGACCTAGAAACCATAAATAGGTCACGTCAAAATGTGTGACAAAGTGCGATAGTATACTAGTACATGCAGGTACATGCAGCTGATCTCGATGTTTGTTGCACGCTCTGTTGTGAGACACTTCCATTATTTCTCCACCTCCAGTGCCAAAATGCCCTTGAAGTTCGCAGCTAATATTTCTATGCTATTTCAAGAAATAGAAGGGTTAGAAAACCGGTACAAAGCGGCTAAGGAAGCAGGGTTTAAAGCCGTTGAATGCACGTTTCCCTACGAAGTTGCCGCGGACAAACTAGCAGAAGCAAAAGAAGCTGCCGGCATTGAACATGTGTTAATAAATGCATGGCCTGGTAGGATATTTATGCAGAGACTATAATAAGCCGAATCTTTTTAACTGTCTAGCTTAATTGTCTAGTTTAATTTACTAGCTTAGTAAAGCCAAATATAAATATTTTAATGGACAACATGTTCATAGTACATGTACGCTAAACTGTTTTTTATTGTGGCTCTTAACACCCAAACCCATTATTGGTGCATTTCACATGCTGAGGTGTCAAAAAAAAAAAAAAATGAATTTGAAGTTTTGTTCAGTTTTTTAAATATGTAAGTGTATTGAACAAAATTCCACGACTGTCTCAATTTTACATCCACATTTAATTTTTACCATTATGTAAAGAGCCTACTGTAAATGGTAAAGTTCTGGGTCATATATTTTTTTTATTTTTTATCATGTTCCAAATATGTTGTAGTGATTCAGTAATGGTAAACCAGTGCAGATTGAATTTTCAGAGTGAGTAAAATCACTACTGCAGCTGAAAGTTTGCCATTTGTAATGGTAATGTATGTTCCTTTTTTGGTGTTAGATTATTGTGTTTTTTTTTTTATTCTCCATGGTTCCAGGACAGTGAAACATTGATATGAACTTCTTCACGTGGGATCCTAAAATAATCAAACAGTTTCTAATCTGTCCATTAAATTTTTAAAGAGCATGCTGGTAACATAATTTGCACATCTATATTGGGTTTGGATGTTAAAATCATTATTTTTTTTTACAAGCATGGTTTCTAATAAGATTTATTAGAAACTTTGGTTGTTGAGAGGTGGCAAAACTTAACATGCAACCAACTATAAGTCACAGTTACAGGTGAGCCTAACCCATAAATAGTACAGTGGTTTATGTTAAATTATTATTTTAAGGTGACTTAAAAGGTGGAGATATTGGCATAGCAGCCATTTCAAGTCGTAGGTCAGAGTTTAAAGAAAAGTTGGAAACGTCAATACAGTATGCCAAGGCACTGGGATGTAAAAGGTATGAGATCACCCTCTCTCTCTCTCTGTCTCTCTCATTTGTTCAAACCTTTGAACCAAAATAATTAGTTTCATAAAACTGACAAAATATCAGCATGTTATTATTTGTTCATTTTGTTCATTAATAAGATCAGTGTGTGTGTGTGTAAGTTATCTCAAGAGATCAATTATCAGATATCTTTTTGTATTTTTGTTTGTTTATAGTCTAATAATGTGTATTATAAGTATTCTTATCTCTGCAAGTTTATGGCCCTGGTGACTGGGACAGTGTTACTTACATTTTAAATTTCAAATGGATTTTAAACATTATATTATTATTATTATTATTGCTTTGAACACTGGGTTTATCTTTTGAACAGTATTCTGTTTAAGTAATTGGTTGCTGCTCAGAATTTGTACTTTTATTATTATTGCTTTGAACACTGGGTTTATCTTTTGAACAGTATTCTGTTTAAGTAATTGGTTGCTGCTCAGAATTTGTACTTTTATTCTGGTTTGATTAATGGTTATTTAGTTATGATATATAAGCATCTACTAGTGTTATCTATTCTGTAACTAGAATGCATGTAATGGCAGGACGTCAAACTCAGTTTATAGATACAGCAATGAAGGATGTTTACCTTGAGAACATTGGATATGCAGCTGAGAGACTCCAGAAGGTGAGGGTCATTTTTTTCTGTCTAAAAGCACTTAAGGGAAAAGATCAGCTTTTGAAGACATTTTGATGATTGAGTTATCTTGGGATGTTTTCTTTTTACTTAGCAGTTATGCAAATAATTGTAATCCCATGCAGTTCATAATTTTTCAGTTTTTTTTTACTTGTATTGTGATGAATTTGTCATTCAGGAAGGCATCTTGTGTCTGATTGAAGCAGTTAACTCAAAAATCAGCCTACCAGGTTACTTCATGGACAATTATGAAAAAGGCAAGTATAGAGAAACTGAAGTGAGTATAGTTAGCTAGATAGATAGATGAACAGAGTGGATGAGAGGAGGTAAGGGATTCACAAAAAGCGCAATGCTTTTTTAGATCCTCATTAAGTGTCTGTTGCTTTTTTTTCATGTTTAAAATTATTCTTTCCATTTAAACACTCTTTGATCACATTATATAGTAAATTGTTTATCACTCTCTTAACAGCTGTGGAGTGTATCAAGAATGTGAACCACCCTAACTTAAAGCTGCAATTGGTAAGCCCCAGGACTGCTCTTTGCATTCATGTCTTGTTGTAAATTTGTCCTATTGCTATTTTTGATTGATTCGAATGGTAATATTCTTTATTTCATAGTTAACTACAGGTAGCACTGAGTGGTACTACGCACTAAATAGAGATGTTTAAAATCAATTTTTAATATTCTTAAAAAATGCAGTAACAGTGATTATTTTATTTCAGGACATATTTCATCTCCAGATCATGCATGGTAACCTAACAGGCATGATAAAAGAGTATATGCCATGTGTTGGTAAGATTGGTTTAGTTGCTCTTCAGTGCTAACTGTGTATATTTTAAGTTACTTGAATATTATTACAATGGAATGATGCTGCTTCATATTTGATGTTAAGTGTACTGCCAGCATCCTATGGATCAGAACAGGTGTTTTCAGGGGGAGGAAATTTTTTTGCACTTTTTTCTTATTGTTCTGAAGGCCACTTTCCTTTGCCAAGATAACATATCTTGACATGATATGAAACATTTCCAGGGCACATGCAAATAGCCCAAGTCCCTGACAGACATGAACCTAACACTGATGGAGAGATCAATTACAAGTATGTGTTTAAATTACTAGAAGAAGTGGGCTATGATGGTTGGATAGGGTTGGAGTATAAGCCTAAAGGTAAGGGAATAATGTTTGAGTTAAGGGGTGAGATATTGAAATTGATAACTTGAATGCAATTAAGAAAAGTGAATTCAAAACCTGGTATTAATTAACATTTTGTAATAATATAGTTCATGAAATATCAAAGAAAATCAGAAACAAAATGCTTTGAACTGGTTATTGAATTTTCACCATGTGCTGTTATGCTTAAATAATGCTAATTGTAGATGAAATTGCTACTTTTTAGGGAACACTGTTGAAGGTCTGAAGTGGATTCAAGAAATGGGATATCAGCTTTAGGATTGGACATGAGTAATGACTTTGAGATATTGTATTTTATTAATTGTTAATGATCCAGGTATAGCATATAATGTTTATAATGTTAATGCAATAAGGCTTTATAAAAAAATCAAAATGGAGTGAATTTCAGAAGATTCTCATATATATATATATATATATATATGACTACCAAGGGACAGTGGAGTGTTGAAAAGCTCCAAAATTCTGTGCAATTCTTTGAATATATAGTTTGATATATTTCAGTTTTACTAGGCTGATTTTGTTGTATTTCTTAAAACATTATATGAAATTTTGAATGTATTGCTGATGCATTTGGATTTCATTTACATATTAAAGAATGTATGGATATAGTGCGTTATGCCCACAGGATATCAAGTAAACCACACCCAATCAAAAATTTTAGTCAGATGATCACAATTTTTTCATATTTTAGTATGATTTGTGGTTGAATATGTTCAGACTATTTTATGAAGAGATATATTGTATCTGTTTTGCCTTTGTTGAGTGTGATAACTGTGATAATATGGGAACATTGCAATGTGGACACCGAGAGTGGGTCTCGGGGTGGAATGACATAAGAAGACAAATTTAGGTTTCTACGGTTATTCACTCTGCATAGACTAAGACCCCCAGCAGAGACTATGCACCGGTCACTTCTTTGGCTCAATTACACATTGGCTATACAAGTCTTGGTATCTAGCCTTAACTTGGTTCTCTACTAAAATCTGCATCGCAAAAGATGTATTGCGCCTTAAACTTTTTGGGGCAAAAGGGGGAGAGGCCGACAGCGTGGTCACACACAAAGAAAATACGCTGGCCAATAAACTAATCAATAGGCTCATCAAGGGGGATCAGGCCACCCTTGCCGTTTACGTGTCAAATACTGAGCCCATCAGCTGACCTCTACTTAAAACAAAATGCTAACGATATTTACATGTATATTTAATATGCAATACAGAATAAAAAAAAAATTAAAATTAGGGTAAAGCGAGGTTAGTGTGCCACTTAACTCTTACACTCCCCTGCTAACACATTGCCGCCCCACAATGTCAGTGACAACCATAGCTGTACAATTAAAATTGCTGATGCCCACCAGCCAACATTCATGCAAGAAAATAGCTGGGTCCCAGCCAAATTCGCTAAAACAGACGGATCGATGCCTGGGCTGGCAACCGCACCCTGCTGGATGTTGGAACGCGGTAGGTGATTTATGTTATTGTGCCATCCAGATGTACTTCTGTTGCCCCTGCGCACCACCTCCGTCGTCTCCGGCTCCCCTGCTGTGCATCGAGCACCCGTTTCAGGAGAGACCAGTTCGTTCCCATGAATTTGGTCTTCACCATCGACCTCGATCATAATTGTATAATCTTCACCTTCATCTTCCTGCTGCTCTTCCAATAAATCTTCCTGGCACCCAGCCCCAGGTGGCTAGCGTCAACTTCCAAGATAAATGAATGAGAGAAATCTGCGTAACCCAATACTGGAGCCTGTGTCAACTTTTCTTTTAAGATGTTCATCGCCTCGTCACATCACCCAACCCATGCACTCAGTCCCAATGGCTTTTGAAACCTGTTCTTTTTCACTTAAGCAGTCTGGCCTCCTATCAAGGCATGCAGGGGTCCCGCGATGTTTGCAAAATCTTTTATGAATCTTCGGTAATAGCCAACCATTCCTAAGAATCCACGTAACTGTGTCTCCGTCTGAGGCCTTGGCCATCCCGTCACTACTGCTATCTTGTCTGGATCCGGAGAAAGTCCATCCTCTGAAACAATATGTCCCAAATATCGCAATTTGATTTTGAAAAGCTGGCATTTTTTAGGCTTTATCTTCAGTCCATGAGCCCCTAATCTGGTCAGTATGAGATCTAGTCGTTCTATGGTTTCCTGAAAAGTCTTTCCAAAAACCAAGATGTCGTCAAGATATATCAATAATGTTTGGAAATTCTGATCACCGAATATTTTGTCCATCAGTCGCATGAACGTGGAGGGAGCTCCCGTCAAACCAAACGGCATACGCACATATTCGTACAGTCCTCCTGTTCCAATTCTAGAGGCCGTTTTCTCAATGTCTTCTTCTCTAACAGGTACTTGATTAAATCCGTGAGCTAAGTCTAAACTACAAAAGTAAGATGCCCCATTCAGAGCATCCAATGCTTCTTCTATTTTTGGTAGCGGGTATGCGTCTTTCCTTGTCTTGGCATTAAGTGCCCTGTAGTCTACGCACAGTCTAAGGCTATATTGTCTTTCTTTCTAACTAGTACTAATGGCGACGCATATGGACTGCTAGATTCGCGGATCACATTATTGCTCATGGCATGCTCTAGATGTTCCCTCACTTCTGCTCACTTCTTGGGAGGAATACGGCGGTGAGCTGCCCTCAATGGAACCTCGTCTTCCGTAATTATACGATGTTCAACTAAACTTCAAAATCCAATGTCACTGTCAGATTTGCTAAACACTCCTTCATGCTGCTGAATTAAGTCCTCGAACTGCTTTATGCTCTGGGAATTCAAGTCGCCTATATCCATCTCTGACATGATTTTGTGATCTACAGAGTCAACTAATTTACTACTACACTCACTATCACTATCAACTACGAGAACTTCGGTATTGTTGAGAACAACATTCACATTTGGCATGGATCTCGCTGGTCGCAAATAACCAATCGGAGTCCTTGGTTTAAGGTATACATCTTCGTCGGAAAAGATGGACACTTGAAATGGTACCGTGCCACATTTTTCCACCGTAACGAGAGTGGGGCCCATATTCACCCCTGTCTGCAGGGTAGGGAAATCTGCCCCCATTTCCTCTTAGATTCCCTCGTAGCAACTTCAGAGGGTCTCACGCTGGCCTCTACCACCTGGAGCGACCAGGCTGGTAGTAACACTGGTCTGTTTCCAGACACCCTCAACCTGTTGCAGATCAAGTTGTCCTCATTGGACGCAATTCGCTGCTCCTCGTACAGAGCCAACACGGTCTTCCACCTCTCTTCAGGACAACTGTTCCTTGGCAATTTTCTGCTGATGTCGCGCAGAACGTTTGAGCCGATAACTCCGGGCACCAACCTTTTCCTTTCTCTCATTAGACGTCCTGGGTCTTCTACATCAAGGAAACCCATGTTATGGAATGTGTGGCCAAATGCTTCCACGGTCAGCTCGACGTAGCCCACGAAAGGGATGTCCTTTCCATTGGAGGCCTTGATGTTAATGAGGTTGTCCACGTTTCTCATCCTACACTTGTCTGCGACGAATTTGTTGTAGAACGACTCCTTCAGAGTGGAAACCTGTGCCTCTGTGTCCAACAGACACCTCACGTCGACTCCCTGTAGTTTTAGTTACACCTCCGGACAATTCCCGATCGTTTTTCTATAGAATGAGCCGTCGCCGTCTGACTGACCTGTGGTATGGCTCTCTACCACAGGTGTTCGTAGTTAAACGGCCTAGTTTAACGGCGTAGTTGTACGCCCCCCGAGGTACAGTCCCGCCTTAAGTGTTCCAGCGAGCCACAGGACCAACACTGTCTTGGCCCGTCTTGTTGGCGTCCCCTGGTCTTTTTGCCTTTGATGAACGTCAGCTGTTGGATTAGCTGGCCAGTCTGTCCCTGCTGTTTTTTATGATATCCTCCTGCAGCTCTACCAACCTCCGCTCAGATTCACTGGTGTTCTGCTCCACTGTCACATGTTTCGTCAGGCTTGATGGTCGACCCACCCACTGCACCGCTCTATCACGCAGCTCGAAGAACTTTAATTCTTCACTCTATATGTTGAGGCGGCGGAGCTCTCTTCATAAGTTTTTGTCTCTAACGGCTTCCGCAAACCTGCTTTTCAGTGCACTCTCCCGTCGAGGCTTGAAAGCTGGATCGAGTTCTATGATGAGACCAAAAAGCTCTACTAGTCGCAGCGAGCAGGTGATAAGATCCTGTGCACCTTGCTCCAGGGAATAAAACTGCTGCTGAAGGTCTGGTAAATCGGCGCCATCGCCGCAAACACGGCGGAGAGTTTTGAATATTTCCTCCGGTTCTTCCTTAAAAGAGTCGCCCCTGCCAAGAATCTCCCACTTGGCTTTGCCTCCTAGTGGATCGATAACGAAGGCCGCATACCGCTCCCCCTTCAAATTGTTACTAGCGGCGTGTGCCCGGACTTCGGCCACCCACTCCCTAATGCCGATGTCAGTCGCCCTCTGTGGCACATCTTTGAATTTTTCGATCTTTCTCGCTGGCAGCACAACTACTTTCGAGGACGTAGAAGGCTCTGCGTTCCTCCGCGCCAGCTCCGCCTCCTGCTCCCGAACCTTCCCTCGGAGTACATCCAACTCCTTGGCCAGCAGTGAAAGGTCTGAATCCTGGGGCTCCATACATTTCATAGTATACGCAATCAGCGCATAAACAGCAAATTATACAATATAATATCAACAGATAGAGCAATATAATAACAGCATAATAAAAATAGAAATAAAGTCAATAAGCTAAATCTTCATTGAACCGGTACGTCTTCCTACGGCAGGCACCATTCGACATCGTCGGCGAGGTCACCAGAGCATCATCAACACGTGCACGACAGCGTGGTCACACACAAAGAAAATACGCTGGCCAATAAACTAATCAATAGGCTCATCAAGGGGGATCAGCCCACCCTTGCCGCTCACGGGTCAAGTAACGAGCCCATCGGCTGACCTCTACTTAAAACAAAATGCTAACGATCTACTTAAATATGAAAAATCTAAATGATATTTGTATATTTACTACGCAATACAGAATAAAAAATAAAAATAAAAACGGGGTAATGCGAGGTTAGTGTGCCACTTAACTCTTACAGCAAAAAAAGGTATGTTTGCTTATTAACTGAAAGAAAAAGCATATTTTGAGTTTGTTCACAAAAATTTTGTTTCCGAAGTATTTTAATAAATGTAGATGTAATTTTAGTACAAATTAGAGGATGGTATGATAATGATTTTTAATGTTACGCTTGCCAAATTAGGTGGGGTGCAAGCAGCTGGTTCCATGTTGAAAGATATTGTCATCATAATTATGCAGGCTAAGTTTTCCTATCTGTCAACTTTCTCATTTGAATTAGAAATAACTACATATTTTGGTGTCCTTTTTGGAAATAATTTTGAACCAAATTTCATTTTATTTAGCAGTTATCCATAGAATACACATTTGAGACACTTAATTTTGCAGATGTTTTAGCAGGAAACGTTTGTATCATGCATGCCTGATCCAATGATGCATCATATACTCTTATCTAATAACATACCTCATTAACGAAAATGTGTCGTGCTTTATTTAGGGATTGGTGTGGCTGTACATGTTAAAGAGCATTTGTAGTGCATATTGAAGTACAGGGATGGCCAAGTATATTTTGAATATAATGATAAGTTTTTTATGAGTCTTACATATTTCAGCTGATGTAATAAACCTTTAGTAACAGTTTTATTATTATTATTTTTATTATTATTTTTTTTTTTTACACGTACATTCTTACACGTACATAGCTTTTAAGGAAAAAAAATAGACATCCATTTGGACCTTGTCATTTCGTAGAAAACATTTTAGTTGGGTATCATGGAATACAATTACTTCTAGACTTAATTATATACAGACACTGCGTGTATCTGTATATATATTCTGGTCGCTGTGGCAATCTGATTTGTTGTCCTTGCAATCCGACTCATCTGCTATTCACCCTAAAACTGCCAAACCATATCAGATCGTTTTTACAAAAATTATTGATTTATTCATGTGTTAGCCTTTGAGCCAAACTTTTTAAACTTCAAGTAGATCTATGCTGATTGGCTTTATGTGGTAAAAATGCAGGTTCCTTTCAAAAATCGACATAATTGGATTTATAAAAAAAAGTTATTAATTACTGCAATAGGCCCCTATGCCTGCTTATGTGAAAGTGAAACGAGGGTGACTTTGTTTTGCTAAATATCTGTATATTTCCCACATTTGCTGTCTAGTATTTCATTTTATCCCACAACAACTATTCAAACGGCAGAAGCTTTTACTAGAGTAGTCATGCCGAAAGTTTTTTTAATTAAATAGCACAACATTTTGAATATGCAGGATAATGTGCAAAAATTAACCGACCCCTCTGATCACGAAAGGAAGCCGTTGAAGGGGTCCCCGACAGATAACATTTCCCGTTCCAATTGGTCTCGTAAGAGCAACTATTTAAAAATGGAAATTACTAATTTGATATTGAAAATGATTATAAAAAATTGTTTGTACGGATTTTCCGCCAACTTTTCTCTCAATCTCCGATATTTTCCCACCTGAATGAATTAAACTACTGACTTCGATCCCTCCCTGCATGGATTCGACGTTTTATAACATTTCTTATTTAGTTTGAAATGACTGGCTTGTCATTTTCCCGTAGATCGCTATGCACGATCTTCTTGTACATTTAAAAGGAAATGAGGCACTTTGGCTCGAGAGATTTTATCATTTTTAATAATAAATGTCTTACACGGAAATGATATGTGGCTTTGCATGGCCGTTTGAAGGATACATAGGCGGCCGCGGAAAATACGACTTTTGGGCGATTTCAAGCGCGAATGGTATACCTAGTAGCTTAAACGTTTCAAGATTTACACACGGGGATGCACTAACTCGAGTAATTGTGAAGGGTAAAACGGTCATTGACAGATCGAGTGAAAAGACTGATGGTTATAGAAATAAAATTTAGTTAATCAGTGGATAATATAGTGGTAATATTTTTGTTTAGCGTCTAAATCCATAAAGTATTCAGTACATTTCACAGCATAAAATCTAATCTATAGATGAAAAATTATATCCTTGATTAATGAACGCAAAAAGAAAAATAAACCAGAACTGGACGTCTAAATTGATAAGATGGGTAAGGTAGTTTTACTAGAAACGCCACCGCTTAGACTAGAGACCGCACCGATGTTCTTAACATTGTTAATTTTTCTAAAGCAATATCAAAGTTTCAGTTGTAGCATATCTTTTTAAATGGCTTATTTTCATAGGTAAAGGTGAGACTTACTAATGGTAAACGATGAAAAACACATCTAGTCTTTCAGACCTGTGTTGAGATCTTTCATATATTCGGGCCTATATGAACGGCATGAATGGTTCTGAAGCGACAGTCATTAAAATCTGCCAGTTACCTCGGCATTACGTCATCTGTATTATGTCCTTAACAATGTGTTAATTGTTCAAGATTACGACTTAAGCAGTTTGTTGGCCATACCTGTATACTGGACGAGTCGGAGGCGGCGCAAAAGAGTAAGATACAGACATTGTAAAACGTTTGCAATCAACTGGAGACGGATTCTCTTGATAAAGTTTAAGGTAGATTTTACGAAAAATCTAAGTATGCAATATTGAAGTGCTTATGCTTATACTCGTTGATAACTGCATTGTGACAGACAGGTAATGAGACCGGATATTCGAAGTGCGGCGACAAGACCACTTGTCTTCGCTAAGATGGTGAAGTAGACGTCAGGACCTGCCAGATTAATGTGCGACATTCAGAAGATCACTAGCTGCTATTCTTGTGATATGGATTTATGGCGGAGGTGTCGAAAATAAGGCAAGTGTGTTCTTCATAAAAAAATGCTGTTTAACCAAAAACAAGTTTTCGTCTTGCGCGTGGGGAAACCTTTAAAATTCAAAGGCTATATTCAAGATCTCAGTCTTATAGAAAAAAAAAAAGAAAAGGAGAAAAGAAACGAGTGGACAAAGGAAACGTATGGCAGTCAATCAAGTCTATCCCCTTTCCACGTGCATTTTGTTTTTGTGGGCTCATTGGTTTCTATGATTATTTTTCTTTAACGGGTGTGGTAAAACTACGTGGGTCCTAGGTAAATGCTACTTTAACTTGTTAATTTTATTCACATTTTTTCAGCTTGTTTTTATGGTTGGTGTTCTTCGGTATGTTTCTTACGGATATTGTAAAAACACTGGATATCACCCCGCTAACTCGATCATGGGCAGCAAACGTGTCGTCTTCTGATAACGAAACTACGAAGACTGGTGAGTTTTTTTTTCTTAAATAATCGTACGTTACGTAAAGTGTGTTCCAAGTTGCAAACTCTACGTATTTACGCGTATTCTACGTATTGTTTAAGACAGACTCTCAATGTTTACAGATGTTATTGTATTTTAAACAATTAGACGTTAGGCAATAAATCTACGCATTTTGAGGTCTGTAATGTTGGCAACTCTGCCGTTCAAGAATAAATGGCATTCAACTATCGTTGAAATTTGGTCATCTATTATACGGCGGTATATGCAGCGAAAACATGAGTTTTCTTCACACTGTGGAGTCATATATTGTTTTTATGCTAGTTTCAAAACATTGGTCTACAAAGGCCTATGATTAATATTTTTGTATAATTTCATGAAAGTGACATTTTCCACTTGATTTGCCTGAATTGTGATCCCCTTGCTAGGAGCCCCCGAATTTCTATTAATTCTTATTGAGGAAACGCACCTCGTTACCTCGTTAACGGATTTAAAGCAATCGGCTGTATAGCTCAATAAGACGGGCTTACCTTCTTTAAATGGCAATTACATAACATTTGCGCAAAGTACGGGGGCCAATTCAGGTGAAATCTGTTGTACAAATGTCGGGAAAACAAAGGAAATATTGACTGAAAATTATTAACATTTTACTGGCATCTGACTACTGTAGGTGGTGAAACAATTCCAGGTTTTATTTTTATTTTTATGTTTTCTGTCCTTATTCCAAGCTGGTGTGTTTGTTGGCATTTTAGATATCCCATTTTAGATTTTGTTTTGATAACTTAAAATCTTGACAAATCGGCTCTTTATCACATCTAATGTTGTAGGGCCTCATATACTGAAGACCAACTACCGTACCGACTGCTGTGAAAATGGCGGGATCTGCGTTTTGGGCAGTTTTTGCAAATGTCCAAAGTGAGTTTTCTTTTTAGCTAAAATGTTCTGCATTGGCTTTTTATTGAAAGATGGTATATTATAAGACAGTTTGTCATAGAACATGATGAGATCAGTGTTGATTGTGTAGTGTAAAGAGGACGTTCGTCTTCGTTGACACCCTCGTTGACACCTTCATTCGTCAACATTACAGGAAATATCACGGTCGCTACTGCCAGCACAAACATCGTCGTCGTCCCTGTGGCGATACTGAACACAGGGAATGGGAACAGGTGAGCTGTAATATGTGCTACTGTTACGATGGAATCCTAACTTGCTTGCCGCAGGTCTATGACGACGTTGAGAATTGTGGTGAGAATTTATTTTTATCTAATAAACTTGTTACAGTCTGTGTAAAATGTTATTAAAAACTTTTGCTTTATGTTTAAAGTAATATTGAAGAAATTAATATGTTTTATGGACAAAAACTGATATAAAAGTTACTACAAAAACTTCAGTTTTGAGCATAATGTATTTATGGCATCATGAATTTTATCAGGTTCATCCAATGTGCAATATTTTTTTATAATAATGAAATACTTAAAAAAAAAAATTATCAATTTTTCATCAGTAATCAAGGCTTTTTTTTTTCATTATAAATATTTAAAAACTTTTTTTCCAAAATTAAGAAATTATATTGAAATTATCTATTTTATTGGATCATTATCTAAATAACAATAAAGATGTAAGTAATATGAGTGAATGGATGGACTACTAAGAAAGGATGCTTTTGGTGTGACATTTTTTTTTTTTTTCAATAAAATTTCATATTTCAGATAAAACCAAAACAAAGATATTTATCAAAGATTTTCGTCTAGAATGGAGGGAAAAAAGAAAGGAGCTAAAGGCCAAAGGGATGTGGGACAGTCACAAGGGTCGACCAAAGATATCTGCAGCAAATAATGCTAAATCTTTTAGCAAACTTCTATTAGCAGCCTGCATTTATTTCATGTGCCAAATGTTATAAAACATTCTATACCGTTAACAGTCTGAGAAATTATCAGCATTATTAAAAGCTACCACAATGCCCAATAGTTATCATATTTCATATACATCAAAGCAGATCATAATATCTTGCCAGGGATAATTGAAATGGTGGGCAAGCTTCAAAGGTAAAGACCAGAAGCAGTTCAAGTGGGCTTCAATGTAGGGCATTTGTGAAAATGATAAGAATATATTTTCAAATATTATTATTCTTGTACGAGCAGCAATGTTTTAAAGACTTAGCTGCCCCATGGTTTATACATGTCAATGAAATGCCTATCAATGAGATTCTCTCCATTCAGTGCAATATAAATTCACATTACTAAATGCTATGGTATTATTAATGTCAACTTCAGTAGTGTTCATTTTCTTTTAATTGACAATTCATATATAAGTGATTCACACTGGTTATTAGAGACACTGATGCACATTGTTATTCTTTGAAGCAGAGTGGTATTGTAGTATTTTTGTTTTATTACAAATGTGTCATGAAGCCACAATCTCTTCAATTTTGTTCTCTTGACTTTAACTCCGAGTGAAACATGCAATCTTCAGCACTGGTAAAAACTAGAAAATGACTAGTAACATTTGTTTTTAATGCTTCAAATGCACAATATAAAATGTGTAGCATTCACAATGCTGATCATGAATGTCTTGCTGGCAAATTTATGGCTCACAGCATAATTGTTGTTCCACAGACATAATTGTCAGCTTTGTTCATCCTTTGTTCATCCAGAGTAATATATTTGTATGTAGGGTATAGTTTCAAACTATATCATATAATTTAGGTACATTATTATTTCAAGTTGAATCCTTTACTAAATGAACAGCATGATTGAACACAATCAGAACCCAATGTATTATATATTAGCATGTATTATGCAAAATAAATTATCTTCATCTCCACCACAATATGTGAGAGCCAAGTCATGATACTGTTATATGCCATGATAATCCCTGTTTATAGCAAGATAACTTGTACATCAGCTGCGAAAGAGATGTCTGGCCATGTAATAAGGTTACAAGTACACTTAGAGAGCATATTCTCCTTAACACAGTAAAAATTTGGCAATGACCAAAGAGTGGAAACTAGCAATTAATCATTAAATGACCCTGTTAAGCCCAGGGGATTCCATTGATTCTCAGACATAATATCTGAGCTAAAAAGCTGTCAATCTTGCAAAAATAAATAAATAAATAAAATATTAAAGATGGATCACTAAAATAGAATGCCCCATGTGAAAATGTCTTTCGTCATCAGCTGTGATCCAATCAGAGAACTTGCATTTTTAAATCCCTTCCTGGTTGTCATGTTTTTGCATTTCCAATTAACCTTTTCCAAAGCATTTCTTTATGATATACAACAATACAAAGATACTATGTATCAGTATTATCATATTTTTGCAATAACCCCAATAATCCCTACAAAAGGCAAGATAGAACTAGAGGATCAGAGAGGCGATACCGCCTCCGAATATTGTACCACCAGCTGGAGCAAGCGCATTCGTATAGACCCCCACATATACAAAATAAGGAACACAGCCACCAGTCTTGTGCTTGACAAGCTGTAAAAATGCAATCAACAAGAATTTTCAAAATATGCAAAAAATATATATATTACTAAAAATGGTATAATCAAAGTTAAGTTCATCGTAAGGTATGTCAAAGGTCAATTCCAAGGTCACAGTAAATTGTCAGTATATGACTTCCTATTCAACTTCAATAGTAACNCCACACTGGTTATTAGAGACACTGATGCACATTGTTATTCTTTGAAGCAGAGTGGTATTGTAGTATTTTTTTTATTACAAATGTGTCATGAAGCCACAATCTCTTCAATTTTGTTCTCTTGACTTTAACTCCGAGTGAAACATGCAATCTTCAGCACTGGTAAAAACTAGAAAATGACTAGTAACATTTGTTTTTAATGCTTCAAATGCACAATATAAAATGTGTAGCATTCACAATGCTGATCATGAATGTCTTGCTGGCAAATTTATGGCTCACAGCATAATTGTTGTTCCACAGACATAATTGTCAGCTTTCAAGAGGTAGCCCTTTGTTCATCCAGAGTAATATATTTGTATGTAGGGTATAGTTTCAAACTATATCATATAATTTAGGTACATTATCATTTCAAGTTGAATCCTTTACTAAATGAACAGCATGATTGAACACAATCAGAACCCAATGTATTATATATTAGCATGTATTATGCAAAATAAATTATCTTCATCTCCACCACAATATGTGAGAGCCAAGTCATGATACTGTTATATGCCATGATAATCCCTGTTTATAGCAAGATAACTTGTACATCAGCTGCGAAAGAGATGTCTGGCCATGTAATAAGGTTACAAGTACACTTAGAGAGCATATTCTCCTTAACACAGTAAAAATTTGGCAATGACCAAAGAGTGGAAACTAGCAATTAATCATTAAATGACCCTGTTAAGCCCAGGGGATTCCATTGATTCTCTGACATAATATCTGAGCTAAAAAGCTGTCAATCTTGCAAAAATAAATAAATAAATAAAATATTAAAGATAGATCACTAAAATAGAATGCCCCATGTGAAAATGTCTTTCGTCATCAGCTGTAATCCAATCAGAGAACTTGCATTTTTAAATCCCTTCCTGGTTGTCATGTTTTTGCATTTCCAATTAACCTTTTCCATAGCATTTCTTTATGATATACAACAATACAAAGATACTATGTATCAGTATTATCATATTTTTGCAAGTGTTCAAACCCCAATAATCCCTACAAAAGGCAAGATAGAATAAATAGATATTTTTTCTTTATATCCGACAAATTCTGTCACTTATTCACTAGTTGTGAGCGTCATTTGTGTAGCTGCCACTTGCACACATCTCATTTCAAATCCAATATCATGCTGGCAGGGTTTTCCAAGTAACTTTTCCATAAATTTGAGTATCTCGCCATTGTGGCGCCATCTACCACCCTGTGATCAGCTGACCAGCTCACCTGCATGATGTGTGCCTTTACCACTTTGTCTTGAGCATCAAAACGGGGCAACACCTATGACAAAACAAATATAACTATACATTTACTTTTTTGGTGAGATAAAGAAATGTTATTCACTTTATACTATACCTCATCATTATAACGTTTAAAAAATTATCGAAAAGAAGGTATTTTAATCCAAGAAGAGGTTTTATATCATGGATTGTCTTGCCTGTATTTTTCCTAAAGCACCTATAGCAACTTGTGGAGGCAGTAACACTGGTTTGGCATATGTACCACCAATCTGTTGACAGAAAACAAAACACATATTCTAATTAAAATACATTTACAACAAAGTGCACAATTAATATTTCTCTCATTCTTGAAGTCAACATTACATCAAATCTTAAATTAAAGCCACAAACATGTCTTGCAAGGACAGTGTGTGAATGAGTTACCGCACTACTTAAAAAAATTCTCTCCTGAACATCAACCAAATAACAAGAAATTTACTTACAACACCTATATTTGAGAGAGAAAAAGTGCCCCCAGCCAGATCATCCTGCCCTAACTTTCCTTCTGCCCCAAGCACCATTAGTCTGTTTAACTCTGTGGCCACTTGGAATGTGGTCAGTGCCTGGACATTCTTTATGTTTGGAACAAGGAGTCCAGCTGGGGTGTCCATGGCTAGACTGATGTTATGCGATGCCTGAAATGTAAATCATTAAAATCTTTTAAAAATGTCCATTATACTAACATATAAAATGCTACTATAATTATTAATATAAACAAAATATCTTAAATATTTGAATCAATCTAAACAAGACATGTTAAAAGCTTAGATGAGAGGAAAAAATTGTGTAAAAAGATTATTAATAATTTACAAACCTTATGTATAACACTTTTCACAATTATCATCTACATGTGCATTTAATGAGGGAAACTGTAGTAGAGCCAATGAAGCTGCCTGAAATGAACAAAAGAAATAGGCAATTTAACCATGAATTCATCCCCTTTCCAGTGCAGGAGTAGATCAAATAAAACTTGTATTTACATCACTTAAACACTTTTTCCATAATATCTGAATTAATGCATTTTTTTTTTCAATTTTCATCTAAATTCCACATACATAACACATTAAACCAGGTCTCAGAAAAGATGCAAATTATTTTTAGGAAAGGAAATAAAGTAGCATGATATTATAATAAAACAAATAATTAACCTTAACAAAGACAGGCATGAAGGAGAACTTGACTCCCCTTTGCTGAACAGCAGCTTTCACAGTCTCCCTTAAAGAAATCAGTGCTGACAAGTCCACTTCATCACAATATCCAAAGTGTGGGATGGAATTGGCTGCTACCATGGTCTTCACCATAGCCTTACGCACGCCCTTCACTGGGACCTTAGTATCTTCACCAATGACTTGTGGGGGGACGTACACTGGAGGGGGTGTAGGGGTAGCAGAAGGGGGTGGGACAACAATCTCTGGGGTGAATGCAGGGGGTGGTGGTTTAGGGGGTGTGGAGATTGGAGCTGCTGCTTCTGTAGAACAGACAAAAATGGACTTTTAAATTATCAAAATACCTGTGCCTTATACAATGTGGTATCTATCAGACAAATATGTATCATTACATTTTTTTTAGATTTTCTTATTGTACAATTTATCTAATGAAGATGCACATATAAGCACACTTTTCATTAAAACAGTGTAAATGTTTTCATTCTTTCTGGATATCAACTATGATACCTTTTCCAGCTTTTTTGTCTTCAATATATTTAAGTATATCTTCTTTTAATATCCTTCCTTCTTTTCCAGTTCCAGGAACATCACTTAATTTCACCTGTAGCAATAATCACAAAATTCTGATCAGTGTATTATTTTCTTGCAGTCAAAGATTATGCTGACTGTTTATTTGCTTTCAACAATGATAAGAAATTGCCATTAAAAACAATAAAACATTTAATCCATGCGGGCAGTACTCTTCATCCATCCCCACAACAAAAATTCACCTTTTTCATCCATTCAAACATCTGTATCCAAATGCAAATTTTACTTTTTGGTAGGTTTGTAAAGGCACATTTATTAAAGTCTCATACTTTGATAGAATATCTTATTTTTACTACTTACACTGTGTTCTTGAGCAATTCTTCTTACTGCTGGTGTAGCAAGCACCTTGTGACCCTTAACCTCTTGCATGGTGTATTGGTCACCTGATGACACCTCCACATCATCCTGGTCCTCTAACTGACCAATGTCTTACAAATGTAAAAAAGATATTACAAAAGCTTAACCTCAACAAATCTTTATTTCATTTGTACATTGTAATAAAATAGAGACTAAAATATATCCAATATGTATAACACAAATATGTGGCATGAGATCACTAGAGAGAGTTTAAGCATCACAAGACAGTAGCTATAAGAAAACATGATAATTTATAAAGAGAAAAAGATGGACAGACAGACAGACACATACACACTCAAAAATCTAATTTAATATAGACTCTGATATGAGATCACTAGAGAGAGTTTTAGAATCACAAGACAGTATCTATAAGAAAAGATAATTTATATACACACATTCAAAATTCAATTTACTATACCCTCAGCTTCCCCCTGCAATTCTATATCAACAAGAGGTTTCCCCACATCTGCTATGTCATCCACCTCATGGTAGATCTTCTTTATCACCCCATCATAACGGCTGGTGATGGTCACTGAAGCCTTGTCACTCTGTACCTCACAGATACTGTCAAACTGGTTCACTTGGTCCCCTACACTCACAAACCTAGACAATACAGCAAGACAGCATGATTACAACAATTCACTTGGCCCGCAATTAAACTGGTTTCTTTGGTCCTTAATACTTACATGGACATGGTTTATGTAGCACAGGTCTCAAACTACTGCGCATGCGCGTAAAGTACTCTGTTTGAAATAAACAAATGGTGAAACTGACAAAGCATGCCGGTGTTTACCGTCTGGTTGATTTGATTTAATTTGCTTTCTGGTGTTGTTTTGAGAAATCATATTAGAAATATTTTGTTGATTGTATGTTTTAAAAGGCAAATCCATCGGACTTTCCTGATTAACATTCATTTTGCCGTCATTGTAAGGGGGATTCCCTTCGCATTTATAGTGTTATATGTGGCCCCAAGGGGATTTTCCACCCCTCCCCCACTCTTGATTAATAAAATTCTTCATCGGGCAGATTGAAAATTATATTGCAAAATACATTAAAAATCGTAAGAAGGTTAATTGCAGATAATGCTGTAAGAATATTCTTAATGGGGGGCGAACTCGGTCAATATAAAATTTTTTACTTCGTCTTACGATTTTGGAGCGCCTGTTCTAATTTTTGAAAGCGAGGCAATGGAACCAAACAATACGATACAATTTGTAATCTGGTAAAAATGGATATTTTTTAATAGAGGTCATAGCCGGGCGTGCATCAAAAGGCGACTCGTTTATCATTGTGATATTTAATAATAATTAATATAAAAGATACGATATAATAGATTCTTGTAGACGGCCTATTTATTAGCTTTATTGATTTTTTAAGTATTTGGAGATTAAAAACACAAAAGTCGTCTGGGATCATATCGAGGCACCCCGTTTCGTTCGTGTGCTGGTTTATGTGGTTCAGAACACTTGGAAATGTAGATAACATACAGTTAGACATGTCTGGATTAATATGCAAGTTCATGAACTCCCCAATACAAAGTACTTGATCTAAGAGTGAATCACGGCTACTCTGACATTTTACTTGGTCAGGAGCATGTAGAATTCTAGACAGCAAATGGAGTCACAAATACATTTAACATCTTTAACTGGACACATTTGATATATATATTGATTAACCTGAAGATACTGCCCTACATATTAATGATAAAATGAATTACAGCTCATGGAAATAACTGCTACATGAGTTTAGTAACTCACCATTCTTTGATTGTAACTTCTCGTATACCTTCTCCAATGTCTGATAAGTTGAACTGGACAACTTCTCCTAGAGCAGCTTCAACAGATTGACAAGAACAATTAATAGACATTTAAATTAAAACATTATGTCTATATAATAAAAAATCCTTCTTCATGTGGAATAAAGCAATCATTTGGCCACAATCAGCTACTGCATGAGCCTTAGACTGTTACAGTTATAACTCAAATTAAATTTCTGTAAAATAATTCAAATTTCTTAATACGAATGACTTCCTTTTAAGTTATCACTAAGTATCTCTCCCAAGAACCCATGATGCCAGCAGAATTATAAAATATTGTACACATCACTGAGACTAACATTTTCAAAGAACTTATTATTATTACTATCTAACAATACCACCTGGTGTAGAATGTATACTCCTTGTAGAAGTAAATGTTAAAAATCGTTTATCCCAACCCCTATACCAACTGTTGGGAGTTCTAAAGGTTCTTCTGAACTGTATACACTGGCGTCTTATGTGGAGTGTTTTAAACTGAAAAAGTAAGTGGAAAGTATTTTATGGGCGGCGGTTTATACAAAAATGCAAAACACGATTAGTCGTCATCGTTATTAGATCAGTCGAAATGAAAACACGATTTGTCGTCGTCGTTATCAGATCAGAAGGCAAAATACGACTAGTAGTCGTCAAAACGCAACTAGTCATCAAAACGCAACTAGTCATCAAAACGCAACTAGTCATCATCAAAACGCAACTTGTCATCATCAAAACGCAACTAGTCATCATCAAAACGCAACTTGTCATCAAAACGCGATTTGACGCCAGATGGCGCCCATTGTACGAAAATCTAGGCCAAGTCACATGATCCACAGTGATCAAAATGGCGGACGTTATTGAAGCAGCATTATCATATTCCTCGCTCGAACTCGAGAATTATCTCTACGCGTACAATCTAATAATGATATTATATATATAATAATATCTGGAACTTGTGAAATGAGTACAACAATAAAGCAGTGCTTCACAAGTGTGTGTTTTTGTTTTTTTTTAATTTATAACATGTCCAAATTATTTAATAAATTATTTAATTATTTATTATTTCGAGAATTATCTCTACGCGTACAATCTAATAATGATATTATATATATAATAATATCTCGAACTCGAGATAATTCTCGAGTTCGAGCGAGGAATATGATAATGCTGCTTCAATAACGTCCGCCATTTTGATCACTGTGGATCATGTGACTTGGCCTAGATTTTCGTACAATGGGCGCCATCTGGCGTCAAATCGCGTTTTGATGACAAGTTGCGTTTTGATGATGACAAGTTGCGTTTTGATGATGACTAGTTGCGTTTTGATGATGACAAGTTGCGTTTTGATGATGACTAGTTGCGTTTTGATGACTAGTTGCGTTTTGATGACTAGTTGCGTTTTGACGACTACTAGTCGTATTTTGCCTTCTGATCTGATAACGATGACGACTAATCGTGTTTTGCATTTTTGTATAAACCGCCGCCCATAGTATTTATCATGGAATAAAACAATGCCATAAATGTAGTACTAATTGTCCACTGACACCATTACATGAAACTGTATAACATCAATACACTGCTCATTGGAGTTATAAAAGGAGAGAGAGATTTTTGCATGAAGAAGTCTGTTTATCAAGAGTGCGTGTATGAATTTACAACAGCGTAACTGGTAAATGAACAGATGGATATTACTTGGGTACCTCACTCAGCTCTGTTGATGGGGGAAACTTGCGAATTGCATGAGGAGATGAGAGATAAGATAAAAGAAGTTGAGAGCACCCACACGGCGGCTGGTGCGGAAAATGGTCTTCTTTAACATTTTTTGAAGCCTTTCTTTTTATGCGTTTGCATGTAGGAGTGCTAATGCATGAATTTCGTGCTACCCTGGACCCTGCAATATTTAACATTTGTCAATCTGCCCTCTTTGACCTCACCTCTTTTAGCTCTGTATTAGTTTTATGATACCACCCTATTTAAACAAAAATAATAATATTGCGTTTTCTGCACATACTTTCGACAGAATATTTCACTCACCAAGCCAAAGTTGCTTCTTAAACTAAGTCCTCGAAGCAAACTCTGTCCACGAGCTGCCATCGTTTCACTGTTTATTTATAGATGGCGTTATTCAAGATGAAGAAGCTTAATACAACGGAAAAATGTCCAAACTTAGAAAGTTTGTGAATTCTGTTGGCACATTAAAAACGACGTTCTTCTATTTTGACAAATTACAATAGAACTGTATATTTAAAACACTATGAAGCTGTAAAAAGTGTGAGGTTTTCATTTTTTTCCAGTCTTGTCTTGCAGAGGCGTGTCCCCTTTCTTTCATTTTCGATTCCAAAGTCAAGGCCATTTATGTTGCGACTGCTTGTGAAAGTGAGTAGAGCGACTGGCAGATTCACCGAGCACCCAGAAAAATTTATTTCGGTGTCACGTTTTGCTTCAGATAGAATGTCGACCGACAAGATGATTGATATCGACGGAGGGATTCTAGAAGGGGTAACGTTAAGTCTCTCTCTCTCTCTCTCTCTCTCTCTCTCTCTCTCACACACACACACACACACACACACACACAATTTTGGATTGTTCAAGTATCCCGGTAAATTATAAATATGACTGCATCTATAATTATTTTTCACCGACAAACATTAGTAATTATGTTTCATTGGCAAGTTGTAAATGTATGTACATGTATGTAAATTATTTCTCATATTTGGTTTATGATATACAGGGTGGTCAAATACTGCGCAATGCAGCTGCACTCAGTTGCCTTCTAGGAAAACCGATCCATGTGAACAATATACGAGCAGGGAGAGACAGGCCTGGATTAAGGTGATATGCATAATTCTGACATCTCACTAAGCCAAATCTTGTTGTTCAAATTTACATATTCACCTAAATTGTTAAGATATGTTAGAACAAAGAGGCAAATTTACCAAACTGTATTTTTAAGACCTTCAATACTCAATGTAATTCAGGCCACAGCATCTGACAGGTCTTGAACTTGTACAGGAGCTCTGTGAAGGAAAACTACAAGGAGGACAAGTCTCATCAACAGATATCACATTCTTCCCAGGGAAAGTGAAGTCAGGGACACATGTGGCTGATACCAAAACAGCAGGGTAAGGATGTCACAGGCACACAGTGGTGCATTTGTAAAATGTTTTACAATTATTTAATTATTTTATTAAATAAAAATTGATATGCCAACATGATATATCAAGTTTCTCAGTGTAGTTCACTTTGTGAAGACTTGATCTCAACAGCAAATTTAGGCAAAGGTTGATTTAGGTAACATAACCAAGCAGATTTAGAATGATCTTATTGAGGCTTCTTTTTTTCTGAAAATACATTTCATATTGAATATGAAATAAATGATATATATCTAATCATTTGTGTTATTTGTTATATCAGTTAGTTATTATTATGACTTTTCATGTGCAGGAGTATATGCCTTCTGATCCAAGTGTCTTTGCCCTGCCAGCTGTTTGCTAGTGGACCTACAGAGATGATTCTTAAAGGAGGAACAAATGCTAGTTTTGCTCCACAGCTAGACTACACAATTATGGTAAGGGAATGATGAATTGGAATAAATGTAAGAAGTTTTCACTTAAGATCACTCATTTTCTTTTGTTAGAAACAAACTATTTAATCTTGTAGTTGGAAAGGAATCCAGGTCCATCTCTCTTGGCTGTCAAAACTGAAAGTTTTCCATGTTAAATATAAAAGTCAGATTTCCCATTTGCAATAATTAAAGTGTATATAATTGTAAAAAGATTGACAGTTTCCTCAAAGATCCAAAGGGATTTTAGAGCCTTAAATCTGCATGTGTATGAGGATTCTGCAATTACTATGAGAGTGAAGAATCCATTTATTAAGAGACGCTGTTTAATAATGAGTAACTGTTCTAACCAGCATTATTGTGTTACAGTTTGTTACTGTACATGGTTATTTTATTTTCCTCTTGAAAGTTTTTTTCTTCAGGTATTCAAACCAATAGCTGAAAGATTTGGAGTTAATTTCAGTTGTGATATTATAAAAAGGTTAGTTTCTTTCTGAATATTAGATATTTTTCATAAACAATGAGAAAAGTAATGTTATATTATCCAATAATATTAGTAAAATAGGGTTGTTTAATCAATTTTCACTCTGATCTTTGAGGTGGTTGAAGTATTGCCTCATTCTTAGCCCCTTTAGTTGGAGAACTTGTAGCATACATTGCTATACCAGTAAGATCTATTATATAGGGTGTAAATTTAAGATTGAAATATTGGTAAATATAAAGTAAACATGTCTGGGTGGGATTTCTTTCTATAGGATGTGTCTTTTTGAAGAAAAGTTTGTGATTTCAATTGTAAATATGCATAAAACACCTAGGGGCTATTATCCCAAAGGCGGTGGTGAGGTCCATGTGAGGACTGAGCCAGTCAGATGTCTTCATGCAGTTGAGATGACAGACAGAGGTCATGTAATCAAAGTGACAGGAATTGCATTTGTTGCTGGAGTATTACCAATCAAGGTAAGTGGGGCAGGCCAGTAGCCAGGGGAGTCAGGGGGTTCGAAAGAACCCCCCCCCCCCCCCTTTTGCTAGGAAAAGGTCCCCTCTTGGTTAAAGATTTTATCTAGGTACATAAAGGTTTCATGGTAAAAGGTCCACTTTTTCAGAAAAAGAACCCCCTTTTGAAATTGCCGGCTACAGGCCTGTAGGGTGACCTTTATTACTGAGGTAGGTGCCGTCAGTAAGTTGAACAAATCAACTTACATGTAGGGAATACCAGGAAATCTATCAGGAAAGTTGATGAAGGGGTTGTCAGTATTTTTTAAAGTTTCTCAGAGAGTCTTCTTTGCACTAATCAACATCCTTTTATGTAAAGTTTACATTTTGATTTAACCGTGGAAGTATATCTTTACTTCTGTGATTTAACATACAAAATACATAGGTGAATTTCATTCAGATGATTTAAATTGCAAAAATATGTGTTAATCAATGATTTAGAAGCCATATCCTTTTTTTGTTTGAAAGTTAAATAAAATATAATGATTAAGTTTAAAATAGATAAAGCTACACTAATAATTGGCAATGTATATTCAGGTTGCTAAAACCATGGCCAGTGTAGCCAGGAAGATGATAGAGGGAAGGTTAGGACAGATACCTATACAGATTGAGGTGGTGAAGGAACCACAGGATCATGCAGTGGGAACAGGAACTGGAGTCATGTATGAGAGACATAGACAAAAGGGTTTTTTTTGATAAATTTTTCTTGCAAGTTCCATTTTTGATTTAACTCAACATTTTTTTTTCACTGAAGAAAGCTAGAAAGTTGATAACTACAATGAAATATTAGGAACTTATTAAATTTTAAAGTGTTTCTGTAAAGAAGGTAGTAATTGTACCACCAGCGTTAGCGCTGGCGGTACACATGGTTTTAGTCCCGTCCGGATCGTTCCGCCGGCTCCGCCGGATGGCTACCGTTACCGCTTCTCCTCCTAGACGGTAAGGGCCTCCCTACCCATCTCTTCGATTTAGGTCACCTATAATCTCAACTCGTTCCACGTAAAATTTGGGCTTTGTCGGTATTGGGGTCTAGGTGTGGCACTCATTGCAATGCACCCTTGTCTAAAAATGGCAAAATTAAATGCTAATTATCTACCCACGGGAGGAATTATGGGAAAAATTTCTACAGACGGCTTTCCAAAAGTCATATGTGTAGATTTCAAATATGCCCTTGGATTTGACCTTTGACCTTTATTTCAAGGTCAAATGGGCCAAAATTTTCAAAAAAATGAAATTTTTTACGAAAAAAAAATTATTTGCCCTGTTATTCAGACACCACACAGACTTAACCAATAATATTATTGGAAAGTGTTACCCTTCAGCTCATCTTTCATCTCCGTGAATTTGGGGTCAATTGGTGCATTTTCACGGGAGTAGCGGCCATAAGATACCGAAACTGAAAACTGTCTCTAATTCGGGAACCGTTAATGCCAGAGACCCATTCTTTTTTGCATTTTGTAGAGCATGTAAAGCCCAACACTGGCAGTGGTCTCCGTTTTTATGTACAGACACAGAAGTGACGACAGACAGACGCAGGTGATGGCAATATGTACAGACACAGAAGTGTCTGTACATATTGCCATCACCTGCGTCTGTCGTCGCCGATGCCATCGCCGATGCCGATGCCGGCGCCGTGCACTTTCCTTGTTAACACGATAAGTGGAGGGCAGTTTTACTTTTTGGCTTTATATTTACAGAGCTGATGAATATTCATAAAACACAGGTCAAGTTCGAAAATCAGCATGATCGGGCCATTATTGTAGAAGTTATGCTGTTTTTTCACTTTTCAGCATATATGCAACCCTGTTAACACATTTTAAGGAAAACCGATAG